AAGAACTACATCAGCGATTACAGAGGGATAGTACAATAGATGCAGAAATTTTGCGCAAGATGAAGAATGAAGAAAAGTATTGGCAGCAAATATTAAAGCGTTTAATAGCATTAGTGAGAGTTTTGGGTGAACAGAATCTAGCTTTTCGCGGTACAAATGAAACATTGTACAGTGCCAATAACGGGAATTTTTTAAAATTTGTGCAATACTTAGCCATTTTTGATCCATTAATGAACGAACATCTACGAAAGATATCAAATAAAGAGCTTCATACACACTATCTTGGCAAAGATATACAAAATGAACTTATTCAACTGTTAGGAAATGCTATTAAGAAAGAAATCATACAAACAGCAAAAGCAATGAAATATTTTTCAATAGTTCTCGATGGTACTCCTGACTGTAGCCATGTTGAGCAAATGACAATAATTATTCGTTTTGTTAAAGTTGATTCATTGAAAAAGGAGTTTAGTATCAAAGAACATTTTTTAGGCTTTGTACCTTTAAAGAAAACAACTGGAGCCTATATGGCAGTAACGATAATACAACAACTAGAAGAAATGGAGTTACCTATTGATAATTTACGTGGCCAAGGCTACGATAATGGCGCAAATATGATAGGCAAAAATAATGGTGTTCAAAAGAAAATATTAAACATTAATCCTCAAGCATTGTTTGTTCCTTGCAGCGCGCATACTCTTAATTTGGTTGTCAATGATGCTGCAAATTGTTGTCTAATGGCTACAAGTTTTTTTGATATTGTCCAACGTGTGTATGTATATTTTTCGTCTTCAACACATTGGTGGGTAGTTTTCACTAGTCATCAACCTACGTTAACTGTTAAACCTCTAAGTGAAACAAGATGGGAAAGCAGAATAGATGCTATAAAGCCTTTGCGATATGAACTTGGTAAAATGTATGATGCACTGCTAGAAATAGCTGATGATACTTCTCTAACTGGATCCTCAGGAAGCACTGCATGCAGTGATGCTAAAGCACTTGCGAATAGTGTTGCAAAGTTTAAGTTCGTGGTTTCAATTGTTGTATGGTACAACATACTTTTTGAAATCAATATAACAAGTAAGCAGCTCTAAGCTAAAGATTTGGATATTCATGCTGCTGTACAACAGTTACAACACACACAAGCCTATTTGGTTGACTGTAGGAGTGACATAGGTTTTGCAAGAATGCTAGTGGATGCTGCTGAAATTGCTAAGGATTTGGAGATACCACCAACCTTTGAGGCAGAACCACGATTACGGCGGAGAAAAAAGCAATTTGCATATGAAGCTGAAGATGAGCCTGTGCAAGATCCAAAACAAAATTTCAAAGTGAATTTTTTCTTTGCTATACTTGACACAGCAATAAGGTCGGTTGAAGAAAGGTTTGAACAAATGAGAACAATTGAATCTGTATTTGGTTTCTTATATCATATTCATGGTCTACAGAGTAAAACTTCCCAAGAAATATTGGAATGTTGCATGAAACTAGAATCTGCTTTACAACATGGTGATAACAGAGATTTAGTTGCATCAGATTTGTGTGGCGAACTACAGTCTATTGCACGACAACTTTCTGAAGAAACAAAGTCTCCTCAAGATGTTTTTCGATTTATTCTTTGCCAAAACTTGGAAGACAGTCTACCCAACCTTTGTATTGCTCTTCGTATTTTGCTGACATTACCTGTTTCTGTCGCTAGTGGAGAGCGTAGTTTTTCCAAACTAAAATTGATAAAGACATACATTCGATCATCCATGTGCCAAGACAGATTAGTTGGGTTGGCAACTCTTTCCATTGAGCACGAACTTGCAGACAAGCTGGACCTAAAGGACCTTGTGATCAATTTTGCCCAGAAAAAGGCACGCAAAATACAGTTTTGATATTTTTAAATAAATAAATACTTACCTGGTGTTTTCACTTTATTTTGCATTTTATTTTGATTTTTTTACGTAAAAGAGGTGCGACCTTTGAAGTTTTGCCTAGGGTGTCATAACCCCTTTGCACCGGCCCTGTATATATATAATATATACTTTTGTCAATTTAAAGCATGACCAAGTGTTATTATTTTGTGTAAGTAACTAAAAACGTGTTGTGTTAAACTTAGGAAGGTCGATGAAAATGGTTCTGCCTTACACTGTTATGACCTATGCCATTTGTAAATTACTTAAATAATGTTAAGTAGTAATTGTAAATGTTAAATAGTAGTTAGTAAATTATTTTACCTCATACATTTTATGTTAATTTTACAGATGGATTAATTTTTTCAAGCTGAAGGCGATTTTCTAAAAGGGTATTAGTTAAGGTTTTGCAACATTAAATTGTGGAAAACAGCCACTATAAATTAATTATGTAACAGACCGACCAAAACCCGTATTACGGGTTGCTTTTTGTCTGATTTACTATTAAGCAAAAGTTATATGAATTTAACTTTCGAACGAAAAAACTCCAAAAAAAAATTCTGCAAAGTTTCGAATTTTTTTGTTTCGTTGTCAACGAAAATCTTAAAAAAAAAAAAGGCTAATACTTTAAACTTCAAAAATAATCAATTTAAATAAAAATTTCAAATTATTTTAAATTTTAAATTATTTCGCATTTTTTCCATTTGCATTTTTTCGCTTTTTTTTTCGCAAAATTTTAAATTATTTCGCATTTTTTCTAAGTTAAACATATTTTTAATCTGTTTTATGTTATTTCAAGTAAAAAATATATTTTATATATGTATATTATTGGTTATTAAAAATTATAAACACAACATTTATAATAAAATTTATTAATTTAAAAATTATGTTTAAATTTTTTAAAATAATAAAATTAGTATATTTTTTATAATTTTTATTAAGAAGTTATTTTGTTTAAAAGTTTTATTAAGTTTTATATATAATTTCATTAATTATTAATGTGATTATGTTTATTATATTATAATATAAATATAATATATTTATTAATAATATGAAAATGTATTCAATTTTTTATTTAATTATAGTGTATTAATTATATTTGTATATAGAAAAATAATAATATTATATGTATAATATCACAATTTTGATTATTATTTTATTTTTTGTTTCTTATTTATTTGTTTATTGTTATATTTCACATTTAATTTTTCTTTAGATCGTCTATCTAAAAGTATTAAAGTTTATTCTTCTGATGATGATTTCAATTTATTCTACGAATGTTTTTACAAAAGTCAATCGTCATTCACTGATGAAATAAACTCAATTGTTGATGAACAAAATAAACAATTGTTGTTAAATCCTATATAATATATATAGGATAATATATCTAAAATGATATTATCATAAAAATACATGGTCGCAATTGTGTTTTTTTGAACAATAACTGCTGTTTAGTAAATGCAAAAATCAGAATATAAAAAAACTTGGAGTGGCATTTGGAAAACGCTTTATAAAGCGTTTAGATTTTGTCTAATTTACGTTTAAATCTAGTCTAATTAACGTATATAACATGGTCGATGACACGGATTTCAAAGTAGGAGGGGTGGGGGGAAGAGAAGGGGCACAATTATCAGCTTTTAAAGAAAGTCTTCTATATCTAGAATTTTCTTTAAAAAAAAGAGAAGGTCGCTTACAAAAAAAGTGGGATTTTTTCAATGGAAGCTTCCGATATTTCCTGTATCATCCATGCTTTTTTATGACATAGAAATATTAGTAACGTCGCGACATAACAGTGGTTTTTACCAGATCTGTTCCAACAATTTTCTTTAGCAAATGTAACTAAAAATGTAAAATAAAAATTAAATATTTAGCTATTAAACGTCTTGATTATAACAAAGTTGAATACCTACTTTTACACAACCATACGAGCGTTTACAAAATAAATTTAAATTGTTTATAAAACTTACGAAAAAAGTTCTTGCAGAAGGACTTTCATAACGAGAGACCAGCAACTCATATTTTTTAACTGTGTCAATGTCGCCATCAATAATTTCTAAAACATCGGAGTCCATTGATTTGTAGGCATTTACACCGTGACCTAAGCTGTTATGTGAGTCTTCTGACCAATGGCTATATTACTATATTATAATATAATAAACGTTTATTAAACGTCGATCAAACGTTTAGAATAACGATTTATATCAGTTTATATTGTAGATGTATGATTGACGTTTACTGAACGTGTATATAAAAAGATTTAAAGCGTAAATTTTAAACTTATGAAAACTTCACGCCATGGATTAGATTGATTTCAGTTAGAATCATTTAAATATGTGCGTCTTGATAAAAATTCTTTTTTTTTAATTCTTGGAATAATGTTACACATGGAAATATCAATTTCAAACATTTAAGTAATATAAACTCGTGAATTTCATTTCTAAATCTTCTAAAATTTGTGCTTCCTAACACACTTATTTGGATAAAACGTTATTTGGTGCTGAAATAATTTGTATGAGCAGCAGTGGCGCAGAGGCTAGAGAAATTGTCGCATAATTAGCGGTTCGATGTCTCCTCTGGCTATATAAATAACATATGGCAAAAAAGATAGTGTAAACTTCCTCGTTAAATTCTCTTTCACAATTTTTTGTGGTACGAATGGAATTCCTTCTTGATGCACTTTAATCAGCTAAAAAAAGAATGATGATAACATTAATAATGCAAATAATAATAATTATTATGTTCCAAGATTGCATAAAAATAAGTTCGCTAAATTAAAAAAAAGATCGCAACTTGTACTTTGGTTAAACGAGACACGCAAAAAAACCCGTTTGAATTTAAAGATCAGACAAACAAAAATACTGTCTTGCTTTTCCCGTCGTTCCTATAGTTCCACTAAGACCAAATGAATATTAATACAAACCTAACTGTTTCGTTTTATTGTTGCTTGTAAAATTGTGGTATATATTTTTATGAAGAAATGTCACTAATTTCTTCATTTTTAAAATAAAATTTTTTAAACTTTTGGTATTTATGGACTTCATTTTAAAAAATAGATGACATCGGCATATTTTGCATAAAGTGATGTCATCGAAGTTTAAATTTTTTTTTTTTTTTACTTGAATAAGTGATTTTTTTGGTATACTCAAATAGCAAGCATAATTTTGGATAAATATGTGTTTTTGGATAACTAAATAGAACAGAAGCAGATGTTAATATATTTATATTTAATTATTATATTAGTCAAAAATTGTTACAGATAAAGTAAAATAAACTGTTAGAGATAAAAAAAAAACTTGTGGACAAACTGTTACAAATAACCAATATATTTATCAATAAACAATTACAGATAAAATAGCATTTCAAAAAATTAATAAAAGGTAATTTTTAAATAAAAAATGGGTCCTCCTGCTCAGCCAAAACCAACAATAGAAAACAATCAACCTTTAAATGAAGAAGCACCTAGTTTAGACACAGTTGATGGTCGTCCTCAACGATTTAACAATGGTGGTACTCGTCTTAGAAATCAACCTAGAAATGTTGTTGTTAATGTAAATAATTCATCAAATCAAGTTATTGAATCAACTCCAGAACTTTTTACTCAGTTTCTTGTTAATCGAATGGAGAATGACAATATTGAAGTTCCAGAAGAACTTCGAAACAGATCTAGAAATGGCACTGTCAATAAGTATGTAAAATTTAATTTATTACTATAAAATTAACTTGCTAACAATATTTTTCAGATTGCAGTTAACTAGGAAAGTGACAATTCAGTTGTAGTTTTTTATGGCTTTGATTTGTGTGACTGAAAGTTTTAAATTTTAAAATTCTTGATTAATTTTACTTAAAATTAGGAAGTAGCTAACAAAATTTCTCAGTTTAATGTATACTGGCTTAAAAACTGAAATAAATTTTAAAATATAAATTTTATTCAAAAATCAATAGAATTCATAACTTAGTAATAACTAAAAAAATCTGTTTATCTAAAATACTATACATTTTTAAGTTTTGAGAAAATTGCAAAAGCACTTTTTTTTTTCAGTTTGCATTTAATTTTTTTTTCATTTGTTTTTTAAATATAATTTATTTTTTAATTTGCAACCAGCAAATTAAAAAATAAATTACATTTATATTTATATTTAATTATATTTAACATTTTAGTTTTCTTAAACAAAATTTAATTTTGATAATTGATTTGAATTAATTTAAAATTCAATTAATATAATAGAATCAAGTTACTTGACAAAAGAATATAAGTATATTATCAAAGATTTTATTCATTTTTATATATTTTATTTTTTATTATTTATTGTATATTTTATTAACCTTGAAATCTGAAAATTTTTAGTTTAACATAACTTAACTGACTGTTATAACTATGACATGAAATAATAAGATAAAATAACTGAAAGTTATATCATGTCAGCATTGGTCTTCAGAATAAGTAATATCATTCATGCTCTGCTAAGACTTGTTAAACATAAGGTTTATTTAAAGGGATTTTTTGATGAAATTAAAATTAATAAAATAAGTTTGTTTTATCATTTAAATAGAAAATTTGATTAAAAGAAAAAACTAAAGTCTTCTTAAAACTGTTTTCTATAGCAAGAAATAGTCTTGCTATAACAAACTCTTTTTTGTTTTGTTTAGCAAGCCGATTGTTATGTCAAACAATATCTAAAATAGAAAGTTCTTGTTCATTACTTTATGAAATAACAAATAAAACTGTATAGTTAATTGCCAATTCATAAATTTGATTGTTATTAAGGTCTTTTTTAAATTTTCAATAATTGCAACAGCATTTATAACAGTTAATTGTGTGATATTTTTTGTAGGCAGAGTGTTTAGTTATAATTTAATTCAAATAAGTTAAGCACAGAATAAATGTTTTAGTTGAATATAATAGGAGTTGTAAGGTGGATAACAATTGTGCGATAGCAACATTTCTGGAATTATTTGGTTGAAAGCCACATGTTTTAAAATCCCATTTAAAAAAAACTTTTCTTCATGCATATTGCTTAGAACTGATATCTGTACCTTGAGACATGTACTTTAATTTTCTATAGGGGCCATCCATATATTACGTATGTTTGGAGGTCTTACCACCCCCACCCCCTCTGGTAATTCCCCCCCCCCCTTATTAGTTTCATGCTCAGTGGTCTAATCCCTCCCCCATTTTTATTCATGCATGCAAATGATCACTTTTTTTTGCGCTGTTTAACTTTTATAACCTTAACAGGCCATGAATACAAGCGGTGTTTATCTTTTATTAACGGGCAAGAGACCCCTCAGTGCGTATGTAATATATGGATGGCCCCAAACTATTATTTTTGGCAAAATAAAACTTATAAATATAAACAAAGACATTACAAGAGCTATATTGCTTCAAGCGAATTTAAGCATAAAAATTAACAATAAACTTATATCCATAAAAAAAGTTTGTGTTTTTTAATTATAAAAAAATAATCTCTATATAAGATGATGTTTACAGTTTGTAACGTTTGTAATTTTTTAAATAAAATCATAAAACAAAATCATAAAAAAACAAACAAACAAAATTTAAAATATCATAAATGGTGCTAATATAAAATAAAATTTCATTATACTATTTTAGCTAATAAAAATTGTCTTTTAAGCTAATAAAAAAAGTTTCTTTTTTTTTTCTTTATTTTTAATTGGGTAATTATTTTTGTTATTGTTTGTATGAGATATTGTTTGAATAAATATTCTTTCTCTTGCAAGACGATGAAATTTTTTTATTATATTTATTTTACGATTTCATTTTTTTTTTTGCACCTATAACATCTTTTTTTTTTACTGAACATCTTATTGAACATTTTATTGAAAAGTTAGGTTAATAAAAATGAAATTTAATTTTTTTCTTAAAAGTTATTACATTTGTAAATAGTGTGAATATCAAATGTAATTATCATGCAAACTTTTTTAGGTAATTATCATTTAATTAAATGGGCTATAATAACGTTAATTACTTCTTTTATCTTACTACTTAAATAATTTCTTTAGAGTTGTTTAAATATTAAAAAATGGTAAAAAATGGCTTAAGTATATGTATATATATATATATATATATATATATATATATATATATATATATATATATATATATATATATATATATAAATCAGGTAATAAATTAATAGCATTGTTATTTAGTTATTTAAACATTTTTGTGTCATAAAACAAAATTAAATACACCTATATACAATGTGTTTTACAAGTTTTTTTTTGAAAATGACTGTTCTGCAAATTACTGTTGTGAAAGAATTTATTTTGGCATAAACTTTTATTTTTTATCATTGTTTTTCAAATAATATTTTATATTGTTAATATATTGCGATTCTGTTACTTTTTATTACATTGTGTAATAAAAAGAGCTGGTTTCTTTAAATAAAAATCATACTTTGAGATATGTTCATACAAAAAAAATTAGTAATGCAAAAGCTTTCTTTAAAAATGAACCTGTTTTTTTCTTTCATCAGATTCTTTTTTTTTCTTCTTCGAAATGAAAAATTTTCAAAAGACACCATGCTTTCAAGATACATATAGGAATTGGAAGATAAAAAATTTATAATTTTATATTGAATTAGTCCATCCTTAAAACAGCACCTGCATATAATAATATTTCCAAAAAATGCATATTATGTCTACAAGAAAAAATTGAAATAATTACACATGCCAACCATGAATGTTTATTAAATAAAAAATCAAATTTAATTTCAAAATCCATGAAAATAAGTTTCTTATTTTTACGTTTGCATTTAGAAATTAATTCAGTATTTTTATAGTTACAAAAATATAACATAAGTGAGCTCAAAAAATAATTAATCAATTAAAAATTATTTTTTTTAAAAAAGTAAACAATTCTAAAGAATTCTTTAAATATAATAGTCCCAACAAATATTCTACCAATGTGTAAAAAAGTACAGTAGTTAAAACTTTTATGACTTTCAGTAATTTAATTTTTAGTATAAATTGAAGTTTATTAATTTGTCATGGTGTCATTTTATGACATGCTGTTATTACGGTTTTTCTCAAATCTGCTAGTCAAGTTAGGTTCTGTTTAAAAGCTTCTTCATTCTATTCTGCTATTCTATTACACGCAAGTTTCTCATAGGGTTTTAATCAAGTGAGTTTCTTGGCTACAGGGCAAGAACATTAATTGCATTTTTTGAAACCATATCTTGACAATATTTGCCTGGCAAATTGTTTTGTTGTGCATTAAAATATCAGCTTTCTACTACAAAAATAATCAGACATTTCCTAATTGTTTTATTGACAGTCTTATCTTATTATAAAATGTATTAACCACCACAACTGTTGGCATTATTGGACCACAATTCATAATTGCTAGACATTACTTAGCAGAACATGCAATGTATTAGGAACTGAACTGTAAGTTTGTTGGCTGGGAAATATTGGCTTTGTAAGCTGCAAACCATCTAAAATGCACTTTGCCTTTTATGTCTATTAAAATCCACTTTGTCATTGACACAGCCACATTCATAGATAATTTTCTTCTGTGAGTCTCTGAAATTCTGGGAATTCACATAAAAGTCCTTAAAGTTTCAGGAAATTTTCTGATGTTTTTTTCAGTTGATTTATGATAAAAGTATAGTTTTAAACTTCAACATTTGCATGACTGAAATTTTTATAAAATAGTTATATTTACAATAAAAAAAAAATATTAACAAAGAATGGTTATTGAATTTTAATTTATTCAATTTAACTATTTCAAATGATAAGAGTTCTTTTTGCTTCGAGATCAATTGATGTAAATTCCATTTTAAAAGTTTACAAAAGTTTATTGTCAAAAGCTTTTTTGTAACTACTAGGGAAAAAAATGGGAAGTCAGACAAAAACTTTTTATTTTGTACTATTGTATTGAACTTAAATTTCTTAACTACTGGAACCAATATGTTCCTGCAGCATTTCTCTGATCTAATAAAAAACTATAAAATTGCATTTTTGGCACTAACATTCTCACATGGAGGCAGTTGAGTGAGAATTTATTAGCTAAATATCTGGATGTTCTTCACAGCTAAACAGTGTATTATGTTGTCAGATTTTCCTGGATTAAAATCATCTGTTGACTAGATGCGTTGAATGATAACCTTAGATAGAAAAAAATCTAGGTATTTTTTTTATTGGTGAATAACCCAATAAACCAGATTTACTGCAAGTAAATGAGTGTACACACAATCCAAATATTGTCCATAATGAACAATCAGCATTTGCACAGACATTTGATGCTTTGATAAAAGTTTTGGTCAGGGTTGCAAAAAAGGATTCTAGCTTTAAATATCAATTTTTTTTTTGACTTTGGTGTCCCGGAGCTCTATAAGTGTTAAGTGACTATGATCTGCAATAAAAACATTTGTATGAGGTTTTATGACTTGGAACCTATTGTTTTTTAGTCTAGGGTTTTGGAATCCTTGCGTCATTATACATAAAGACTCCGGGTTCAAAATTCTTATGTTCCTCTCACCTAAAAACCCTAATTTTTTCCCCTAAAGTAGTCTATAGGCCTTTTTACATTTTTTGAGTTCCTGGATAGCAAAACCCAGAAAACAAAAGTTTAATTGTTTCTTTTGTTCTTTGTGAATAAAATCGAACATTAAAATTTTGAAAATAGCTTGCTAATATAACTCCAAGCAAGAGAGCAAGTTT